TGGAATACTGTTATGTAACTGCATCGCCAAACTTAAACTCAGTGAAATAGTGAGTACCAGTACTGTAAAATCCTTTATTTTCGCTCAGAATTTATTTTCGCTTTTTTCGCTGAAGGGATGAAATAAGTGAAAATAAAATCCAGCTAATATACCTTTTTTTTTCTATATTTTACATTTGACTCATCAAATACTAGTGAAAATAAACTCTACAAAACAGCTAAAAGTCTTTTAATTTATTTATTTAATTTATTGATTATTATTTATTTTAATAAGGTGTTTTCAGTAAGTAACCAAATACATGTACCGGTACCGGTAATGTTCATTGGTGTAACAATTCTTCATAACAATTTGATCTGTTAAAAACTTTTTGTTTCAACTTTTTTTATGAAGTCGTTTTTTTTATTTAAGAAATTGGCAAATTGTTTTCAAAAAATTGAGATAAGCCAACTTGTTTTTGATGATCAGTGAGACAACCAAAAACAGAACATTTTTGCTCACATCTACTGTAGACTACTTTATTTTCACTATTTTCGCTGATTCTGTAAAAATAAAATCCAGCGAATATACTTTCTTTCCTATATTTCACATTCAACTTGTCAAATATCAGTGAAAATAAATTCCATACAAAACGCCCAAAAAGCCTTTTTAGTGAAAATTAATTCCAGCTGAAATAAAGTATTTCACAGTATATGGGTAACTATGGAATTATTAATTAGTGAGTGATATTACAAATTACCATAAAAATATGTTGTCCACCCACACTACAGTGTGATGGTTGTGATCGAAATGGGTTGCTACTATATGTGCATTCATCATGTCAGAGTTAACACTGGAATGAGTTTTGCAGAAAACAAATAAGCTTCGTCAAGATTTAGGGTTTGTAGGTGCCAAGACAATTTTGGTGTGGTTCTAAACAGATCACAAAATGTTTTGGTACGCTAATTCTTTTTCAATCATGAACTTGTAGTCAATCCTGTCACTGCCTATGTGTAAATCAATTTCTTTCAAACCAGGACTGCGAAGAATGTAATATTACAGTGGTAGCATTCTGTTGCTAAACACACACCATAAAAACAAAAGAATTTGTTGTCCTTTGTTTTTATGCTACAATTTCTCTGAATTATGCATCCTTTTAATTTCTGAATATTAAATGCTGACATATTTTTTTTACAGTGAGTGCTGTAGTCGGCAAGTTGTGCCCATAGATGCCGAGACTGGAGTGGAAGGAGAAACTGATACCACTAATCTTCCTGATGAAGAGACTCCAGTGAAAAGATTTGACAATGAAAACAACATTGCAAATGATAAAGATTCGCTGCCACCTCTGAAGAAGGTAGGGAAGTCAAAAGAAAAGCATTGTTTGAAGTGTGGAAGTTACCCTTTTCACCACCAGTTCTCGTTTTTTTCATCACAAATTCACAAATTGTCTTGTTTATGGTCTGCACTCTCCTTCAGAAGATGGGGACAAAAATAGTGAAATTTTTTGAGTAAAAACTGAGAGCATCTGATTGAATATCAAAGTGATAAAATATTATGTCATATAAAGCATGTATGTGACCTTAGTTGACCTTTAGGAAGTGTTTACTCAACAGTTCAGCACTGTATGTTGTACTATTTTTTCTGCTTGCTTTCAATAATGGATGTTGTTAAGTTAATATCTGTTTCATCCAAAACTTAATTTGCGAAAAATACAACAAAAAATTGATAAAAATATTGACTTAAAAAGAAATTTGCTGAGAGATGGTTACTGGCAACAATGTCCTTAGCAGGTGAAGAATTAACGCTTTATTTCTCCATGTTGAAATTACATAGGATCGTAGGATGTCAACAATGTCGACGGGCAGTACGAGCGAAAAACATATCTTTCATCATGTTAAACATGGCGAACTCTCAGGAAAGATTGTAAGTCAGTTTATTAAAGTATCTCGTTAAATAAACGCTGTCATCGCAACTGTGCATATGTGTGCTCCTGCTAACAAAAACAAAACAAAAAAAGTTTTAAAAGATCTTCACAATTATGATCAAGGTTTTTTTTTATTTCGTGAGAAAGCGCCAAAATTACGGCTGTTTATCATTTCACGTCTACAAACTATTTGAATTGAACTGCGTAATGACGAAGTGGAAAACAGAAGAAGAATAATAAAAAAAGCAGGATGCACATTTATGTGGTTTTGATGACAGTGTCTCTCTATGTTTATATGAGGTGAAGCCTGTCTGTATATGGTGATGCTAATGTCGTGTATTTCAATAATGGATTATGTTAAATCAGTTTGTATGTGGGGCTGGGGTGTATATATAGCCGACTCCTGCGTTAAGAATTTAATTACAAACCTGATATAATTTATCATATTTTACATGATTGATACGTTTTTGCGCATTTTGACTATTATATTTTATGTTTTATTCATTGTTTTGTAGGAAAAGCTATACCATTATTGTAGACAGTACATGTCAGACATCGGTAATAGGCTATAAATTAAATAAATTAATTTTTTTTTTTTCTCGTCAAGCATGAAATATTGATGCAGTCAGGGTACGTTTATAGCGAACCATTCATGCAAAAAACTGGGGACTGCATACCGATTATAGACTTGGGATTTCTACTTGATAATCCTGCAAACAACCGGTTGAACAAATTTGCGCATGAAATAACGGTCGTACTGTGCATGCATACTGATTCTATAAGGCACTGGTTTACCTACATAATCCATATGATTTACGCTCGGCCACTTCTCGTGCCTGATTGAAGTTTAATTTTCTCAGAATTCCACATCAGTCTAGGACGTTGAGTGTATATACAGACAGGTGTTGACCTGGAATACCCTGTGTTACCTCCAAAACGAGCCTCCTTTGTGTGAATCAAAAACTTGATAAAAAACAATAATGGCTCATGTTGCATTGTGATTTGTTGAATTCACTGTGCGTTCTTGTAGGTTTTTTTTTATCACGGCCAGTAGGTAACTTACAAAAATAACTAAAACACAAGTTTTCAGCAAATCCTAAACAACAAATTTCGTTTAGAATTACATAATACTGAGGGAAAAGTTATCATGTAAACTTTTAAAGAAAAATATTCTTGTTTTTTTTTTCCTGAGACTTACATTATTGAAAACATTCCATTGTCACAACAAACAAGAATATTTTTTTTTTTTACCATAATTGGTTCATTTTCTATGTACATTTGTTTGCTTGCATACATGCATGGGATTAGCATTATCAAATCTGTATCCTGCCTAATTGGTTGTCTTGGTAACCAACCTGTCATAATAAATTGGGATTAAAGCAGTGATTTAGTAAAGACAACAAATTGGCAGGTTTTTCAGATTTGAAATCTTGTTTTGTATTGATTCGTTCTATTCTGTGGGTTTGGTTTATATGTTGAGTGTCTTTTTAATTAGTTTGTAAGAATGAATTAAATACAGTGTTGTTCCACAGATTTGAGGCAACACCTCTACCAATTCAATTCTACAAGTAATTGTCTGATTTTCTTCACTACTTCTCATTATGTACAATTTTATTAACAACAAAATTCAGGTCATGTAATTATCTGCACTGGATGCATTTGTTTTGTTTGTTTGTTCTACATTATTACTCTATACGACGATGTATCGATAAAAGTAGAACTAAACAATCAAATCTAAATTTCCATGAAAAAACAAAAATTGCACACCTGGTGTGCCCGACCATCTCACAAAAAAAAATATAAATGTAACGTTAAAAACACAATACAGTTTTAAAAATAAAAATAATCAAAATTGTAATCACTGTAATACCTCACTGTATAAATGTATAAATATGGTTGATGATGCACTTTATAAAAAAATTGTAATGTATTCAAATATGGGAAGCATGTCTCGTCAACAAAATGTTTTTTATTAAATGTGGGCATGTTTATTTATCACTGACAAAGATTTCCTGCCGAATTCACCTCGCAACATCCACAAATTATTGTTGTTAACTTTTATAACCCGAGCACAGAACTATCACTGTCAATGTTTCGTAATTCACGGTGGCTTATATGTCATTTGGTGTTCTATGTGGTGGATATATTTTTATTATCTAATTGTCTAATTTCTTAATACACGTTTCCACTTGGCTTTATATCTATAACATTCTATAAATAGTTTACTAACCGCTGTACTTCTAATTTTTCTTATTTCCCCTATTCCCTGCCATAAATCATTCCCTTACCTCCTGGCTTTGCTATTTTGTTAATTTTTTTTATAATTATTTTTATTTATCAACATTTGTATATGGTAATCTAATAAAAAAAATCCCTATTAATAAATAATAAACCATGTCTGATCCAAATCAAATCAAATCAAATCAAAATCTGATGACTGGAACATTTATTTAGACCTCTTCTCTTTCTGATATGAGGAGGGGCAGTGCAATTGACTTGAGGAAGGGCAGTGCAATTGATGTTAGGAGGGGCAGTGCAATAGACGTCAAAAAGGGTAGTGTAATTGATGTCAAGAGGGGTAGTGCAATTGACGTTAGACGGAGTAGTAATACGGTAGATGTAGATATTTTAAATAAATCTAAACCCAATACCAATGGTACTGCAAATAAAAATAATGAACACAGCTCAGGTAGCACAGGTAAAGGAACTCCATCCAAAACGCTAAATCCAAAAAATAAATTACCAAATAACGGGTCAGTAGTGCCTCCTATTTCAGTAAGAAATCAAGAGACAATAATTAGAGGTCCAGATGACAAATCACATTTAATAAGTAATAATAAAGGCACAAACAACATCACGGTTGAGGGAATAGACAATATAGGTCACACCCTTTCACCTGATTCCTCTGACCCATCCTATGACCCCTCTGACCCTAAGGCCAACAAGAGACCATCAATTGCCATCCAACCATCTGCCTTGGAACTGAATAATCTGGTGAAGGAGGCTGAATCCGCTACTGCACGAAATAACATTCCAGAAGAAGTTGAGGTGAGTAAGAAGCAAATGATTACCTCGTTTGAGGTCAGTGTTAAGTAATAATGACTCCCTTGCACAGTAGTTAGTGTTAACTTGTATTTTTAAAGGTTAAATGCTCTTTTAAGCTTTCAAGTAATTTATCATTCTCTCTGGCTCTCTTTGTCTTTGTCTTTGTTCCTTGTAATTTATTTGACAGTTGATTCGAGTTCAGCGTGTGTCTCAGTTTAATTGGTAATCAATTATTTTAAGCAAGTTTGTTTAAATAACAATGAATAATATAGACGTTTGAATCGTTTAACAATTTGTAATGATTCTATTAAATACGAATAACTGCATGCTTCATTATTTTAAGCCAAGTACGTCTGATTTTTCAAGATTGCTGTGTTCCTGTATCCGGGTAGTTGCTGGAAAATACATTCAGAATTCATTCTTTGTTTGTTTGTTACACGAATACTCATCGCTCACTGACAGAAGTTGTATATACAAGTAGAGAATGTGGCTTTGTGAATTAATATCAGAATATGGCGTTTAAAGTTTGCAGGAACAATTAGGCAGCATTTTTGGGGGTTTATTTAAATATGTTCACACTATGCGGTAGACATTTACTCCTCTGATAGTTTTCTTGGTACTCGCCAGCGTTTCTGGAACTGCATGGCAATTGTTTGGTAATGTAGGCGTGCGCGTCATATTTTGATTTATCATTTACCATGCTGGAAAATAGTATAAAAACGAATGCGTTTATGGATGAGACTGGGACGGTAATGGGAGTGCGAAGCATGTGTATGATGTAGACTGGTAGGCGATGGAATGTAACGTGATGGATTTATACAGCGAACAGAGCAGGGAGTAATTTTCAATCTCATTTTGTCACTTTGTATTTGGTAAATACCAGAAATTATAATAAAATTGTATTCTATGGTTTTATTTTTGTTAGTCTGTATATGCGCGTGTCAATTTTTGTCTGCACGGCATTCAGTGTGCGTTTTTCTAACCAAGCATATTTCATGGATATGCTTAGGTGATTTAGTATTTCCAAATTGTTCTGACTATATGTATTTATGAAAGCCCATTCTTGCTGTCATCTTAAAAGAAAACTTAACATATAGTGCCGAGTGTTGAACCAGTCCTCTCTATTTTGTGCTTTGGTATAGCGCCCTCATCACACATTATCAGAGTACTTTTGTTTTTATTTAAATATTAATTCTTATGTTTTGTTAATGTTTACTGAAATATATATATATCTAAAAGTAAAATAAATAAATAAAATTGATCTTTTATCGATATATATTTAAAATATATTTAAAATAATGAATGAAATTCTAAGATTAAATATAAATACCTCTGTTAGCATGTTTGTAAATACTGGTACTCATTGTTACTTCATTTCCTTGCTGCCCTCCTTTAGAAGGACTCTCAGGAAGCAACTGTACAAGCCGAAGAAGAGGAAGTGCAGCTTGTAGTTTGTCCATGCTTGCCTGCCCTCAATATGAATTATCCCGACAAGGAATTAGCACGTCAAAGCGGTTGCTGTGGATGGTTCAAATACTTCTTTAAGTGGATCCTCTTTATCGTCAGTTTCCCGTTCGTGTGTCTGTTTACCTGGACTATCCCCAACTGTGGCAAACCACATCTCAAGTAAGTGTCTTTGTCTTCGCTTAGGGCCTCCCATGTATATTGGTCAACTAATGCTGGGATGGGGGTGGTATGGTGTATGGAATGGTTGTTTTAGTTTTTTTGGGACGTTTCTAGTGGCCAAAATGTTTATGATTTAATGTTCCACGCCAAGAATGTTAATGTGCCTCATCTGACTGGGCCAATCTGTGGGACTTGATTACATTAACACTTCCTGTAAAAGTAAGGCTCAATTTATTGCAAGATATTAGTACAAATTCCAGTGCTTTTTAAAATTACCGTATTTTGAGTATTAATATTACACAAAATAGCCAGTGTGAAACATAACTCTTTTGTGAAGGGCAGAAGGTAACATAAATTGACTAGCAACAGTAAAAGCCTACTCAATAAAATTGCACTCAAGGGCAATATAAGAATATTGACTTAAAAAAATCTGGTGGTCACCAGCCAAATCTTCTAGAAAATAATGGGTAATGGCCATTTTGGAAGTATTAGAATGCTTTTTACCATTGATTTCTATTACAGAGATATTATTATATCTCAAATTGTAAGTTTCTCAAAATATGTCCCTGTAACGCACAATAGAATACTATTTCACGGTGAGACAATAGTTCCATGATTTTGTATAATCAACAAACAAACAAACATGTGATTTATGAGCAACTTTTTAAAGCATTATGAGTTTGCTTTTACATCAAGTTTAATAACACAGGATAATTATAAGGTTCTTACATACAGTGTCCAACTGCACACCTGTGTTCTGATATACAATGCAAATGCAAGAGAAAATGATGACTATGTCTTGTAAAACTGTTAATATATCTTTTTTTTTTTTCAGGAAATGGTTTTTACTTTCATTTACTATTTCCGTGGTTTGGATTATGGTTCTCAGCTTCGTTATGGTGACTATTGTACAGAAAACTGGATGTTTACTCAATATTAATGCCTATGCGATGGGTCTTGTCATTGTAGCCATGGGAACTAGCATACCGGTGAGTTATAATTAATTTATATAATTATTATAATAAGCATGTGTGTATCTATGTTTATAATCGAAATATGAAAAATGATTGATACACTTGCGAAACAGAATCAATTTTTTTTTCTCAAACATAACAGTGCAATGTTGTTATGTATTAAATAATATTTATTGGTTTTACAAATTCTAAAAAAAAATAAAACTTTGATTTATTGTTTTCAATGCAGACAATGTGTGTCAGCACGGAAGAGTTAAGCATGACACAGTTGTCCAGTGTGTTTTTTTAAATAAATATTTTATCACAGTTGAAGTACATGCTAAAGTTGTCGCACTGTAATGTGTTTGACGAGGATTCTGTGAGACATTGCATGTACATACATTATTTCAAATACGTTATTAACACAAAACCTGAACATGTACTGCATGATAATACTGTGTAGTACTTACCTTATTTGGACCAAGTACTACCATATTAGGACATGAACTTACCTTATTTGGACCAAGTACTACTATATTAGGACATGCACTTACCTTATTTGGACCAAGTACTACCATATTAGGACATGAACTTACCTTATTTGAACCAAGTACTACCATATTAGGACATGAACTTACCTTATTTGGACCAAGTACTACCATATTAGGACATGAACTTACCTTATTTGGACCAAGTACTACTATATTAGGACATGCACTCACCTTAATTGAACCATGTACTACTATATTAGGACATGCACTTACCTTAATTGAACCATGTACTACCATATTAGGTCTACTTCAACATATATATCTTTTTTTTCTCCCACAGGATGCACTTAGTTCTATTCTAGTTGCTCGTGACGGTTACGGTGATATGGCAGTGTCCAATGCAATTGGCTCAAACGTGTTTGATATCAACCTGGGACTCGGGCTTCCATTCGTCATTCGTATAGCCATCGATAAAGGAAAGTCTATTTACCTTTTCAAGAATGATGAAGGGGTAAGTAAACTAATCAACCTCCATGAGAAATGTATATATATAACAACATATGAAGCAATCAAACCATTTCAGAATGACGCTTTGTCTTCTCGAGACAGAGCTTGTAGATTTTGAGAATTTAACCTTATAATGAAAATTTATGTTTACTTCCCTCCTCCTCTGAGGTATACAAATGTTTACCTCCCTCTTCCTCTGAGGAATACACCCGCCATAAATAAAAAAAAACACACCGACGTACAAAAAACATATCATGAAATTGGAAAAAAAGAAGTAGCATTTTAAAATATGATTATTTACCAAGTTTGTGCATGTGACAAAAAAAAAATATTTTTCCATTCATGTACCTGTTTCTTTTGTTTTTCTTGCAGTTAACCACTGCTTACGAAAATGGAGATATGCTGATGACTCCGCACTCGAAATTTGGTTTTATACTTCTGCTGATATTAGTGATCACCCAGATTACATTTATTGCTGTCCGATTTCGATTGAACAAATACATTGGAATAGTGTTTGTGTCAATGTACGTCCTGTTCCTCGTCTACGCATTCATCCAAGAATTTCTCTGTGACGGTTACAAGTGCTAGTGTTGAAACATTTTCGAAACTTGATATTTACAGACGTGCAAGTAATAAACTAATGATATACGCAAAACTCTTTTTTTCATTTGATATTTTGATTTATTTTCTCTCTCACCTTGCGCTTTGAAGACAGGGTAATCATATGTTGATATATTTTGTTTGTCACTATGAAGACATGGAACATTAGGCATGTTATGTGCTAAAGTTACCATGAATGTTTCTGATTGGTCCCTTCAAAAACAGTGGAATTCTCTGCCTTGGATGTGGTCGTCAAGACAGAGGAAGAGGAATTTTGCCAGTCACACAGTGTCGTGTTTTTTTTTTCTACGCGTAGATATGGAATCTATTTACTTTACAACGATCACAGGGGATTAATGTATAGCTTTAAAGTTCTCTCTGCATTTACCATTTTAGCTGCTTGATTTTAGCCTCTTCATGTATGCAACTCGCGGCAAGGTGCCTGGTGCACTGCTGCGAGACTACTGTACTTTGTAGAATATGAAATACTGTGCGGTTTCCATGACAATACATCTCCTTGGTTACACAAGGGAAAACAAAAACTAATAATGGAAATCGATCAAGAGTTCTACTTTGGAAGTGCCACAGTTTTATTTTATTGAGATACAAGAAGGTTTGTAAATTTCAAAGCCTTTGTATTTATTGAGCGTGACACTATATTTATAAATATGCAAATTTTATGTCTACTGATTGGAACTAGTGCCAACTATATGCGTGCATCGAACAAACATTGCAAAGTAGGAGAGGATTAACAGAAGAGCCTTGAAGAAAACAAGTGGTGAGAAATCACTGTATTCTAACGAAGTCCTTAATTTAAGATTTACAAGTTCTTACCTCTACTAACTAAGAAACAACTTATTTTCTCAGTTTGGAGAAATTCTAGCGTCTGTTATTTCTTTATATTACTGACTGTTGTGTCAATTTTGAGCAACTTATTATATATACACATTTTTGACATTTAATTATTCGATAACTCATTCCAGACATTTTTTTCGACTGATCAATTTTTGAAAAAAAAAAAAAAATGCTGTAATAATCATGCTGAAAAAATGTTCTCGCAAATATCTACCTTGCGGAAAAATTACTATATAAAGTGTGCATGCAATGTTTTCCAGACCGAGGTGTTTACAGTTCATAGAGTGAGGAATCATAGGAAAGCTTCTTCTATGGCATAGCCAAGAAGATTTTCATTTTTATTACCACTGTTAATTTATTCTTTTCATCCATACTATGCCAGAAGGCTATGAATTCTTTACTCTTTTCTCAAATTGTAGTTTTGATCAAAGTTCTTGAAAGGATTAATACTTCAATATATGCTGTACAGGTACAGGTACAGGCACAGGAGTTGGTTATATTTTGATGGAATTTATTTTCATAAGAAAAAGCATACCAGGAATTTTGTTTATCTAACTGTATGTAATGTATCTTTACTGATTCGTTAAATGGAAAATGCTTTTTTTTTTTTTTTTGCTGAATTAATTTGACCAAATATTTCTATGGAGAAAAAAAATTATGAGGAAGTATAAAGAAATATTTTACAGTACTTCTTGAAAATGACTAAATTGGCGACAAATATTGGTGGTCAATTACAAATGCTAAAAGTAACTATTACTTTTAAGCCTCAATCATAAATGATGTCCAAGTTCACTTTCGAAGTTTTTGTGCATTTTCGTCCATTTGACACCTGGTGTATACATTACCCCGCGGAGGCGACTACACCCTTTACATCTTCGTGTGGTTCAAGCGTGTGTGATCTAGAGCCGAAAAAACTATTCTTTTCATCTCCATGGTAACCAGTAACCAGCGTCTCTTTCATACTTCATGTGCCAGCAATAGATATGTTACTTTTTCAAGAATTTTTTCTTTTCTTCAGATGAAGACTATGCATATCCAGTTTAGTAGCTTAATTCGGTGGTTGACCACTATGTTTAGATTCATTGTTGTGTTCACACGAAATGAAACATCTGGAGATGATTCAATTCTATGTAGTTTATTTTTAAAAAGTACACTCTGTAGTAATATTTAGGAGTGATTGCGTCATGCCAGTGTAATGCAATTCAGAGAATAACTGTCTCTAATTTTATAACTTTTTTTTTCTCAAATCATACAGGGAAGAGATGTTATGTTTTTCGGGAAATAACATTTTCGCTGATGACCTTGAGGCTGTTGTGGAACACCTTGTTCTTATATATTTACATTTTTGATATTCTTAAATGTCTTGATAATTTTTAGTTTATTATATTTTAATCATAATCCCAGCTTATCGATGAAGGGCTTTGTTCATTTCAAAGACTGGGTACAGTTTCTATGTAGAGAAAATATTGGTACGTCCTTGGAGGATGAAACAATATTTGTTTTACCGCCATAGTATTGTCATTCATGTACGTAAATTCTATTTATTTTCTTTGGTATTCTCCTGGTGTAGTGGGTGTACATAAGCATTAGGACGATAAATTAGATTTTCAAATTTGTGAATTTGTCTAAGCCTTGTAATTTTTAATTTAGATCAAAAAAATTAATTTGTTTCTGATCTTGTAATGTATGCTGATATGCCCTTTTTTCTCATTTTTTTGTAGCGAAATTTTTACAATATTTTGGGAGATAAAAACTGGCTCACATGCACAAACTGGCACATGCGCTGACCAAAAAACCTATTTGTGGCTTCTAGTTTGTGTTCTTTTATGAGTAACCTCTTTGACCTAACTCAGTTTAACGTCAGATAGATTCTGATGAAAAAGTAATAATAATAATAATGAACTTGGTCTTGGTGAAAAATTTTATCAGCAAAATCCATTAGATTTCATGAAAACTATTATATTCTAACTATTTTAGTCTGGTTACTGAAGGATGGGAAACCCCAGAAAAAATGCTTAATATTTGCCATTGTGCGTTCATTATGTTCTAAAGGTCAGTAACCTTACAATCAATAATGTTCTCCCACTTAAAGTTCGCCTTCCATTATTTCAAATCTTTGCTTACAAAACAAATATAAAACGTTCTGTTATTAGGGCGCCCTCATGTCTGCGTTTTGGGGTACTTTTGTTTTTTCCCTACAAGTTGCAATGTAATTATTTATTGTTTATTTAATAGATTTGTTTAATTTGTAGATATTGTGTGTAAATAACGTATTTCTAAATTATTGACAGTTGTTTTGTTTTTACTACAAGGAAGAAAATATAATAATAATAATAATAATAATAATAAATTGGCCACTTTTTAGCATTAACTTGACCCCTTACAGTAAGCACACTGCGTGTAAACTGTGCTTACAACACCTTTCGGTTCAAGGTGCATTATGCGTTTTTTTTAAATCTACTTCAAGTTTCTGATGTGTAAAATCATTTCCGTATTTGTAAATATATCAATAAATTAAATTCTAGATTTTTCTACAATGTTTGGTATTATTTATTTTGGACAGTTGGTTATTTATACCGAGTCGTTGATTATGGTGGTGTGTGGTAACAATCAGTCCAACATCCCTTGTGTATTTTCAATTCAAATGAAAGCACGCCTTCTATTTTGAAAATGACGACGGTGGTTACAGGTCGCAGCAAAAATGCATTCGACGAGTTGAACCACGTTTTTTTTTGAAAATCTCTCTTTTTTTTTCTTCTTTGAATGAATGGCCAGATTGAATTTGTAGGGGAGTGTGTGTTCACTAATAACATATCAAATTGTACGAAAGTCGCTGGTGGTTGTGATATCAGCGAATCTCTGCATCGTCCGGTGCCGATTCCAACAACCCAGGCGGGGTCAGCCAGGGAAAACGCGTATTTTATCATGTTAAACAAATGGCCAATGGTTTGATTGGATGCGTCTGTTGGAAACGTTGCAGGCTGTGTGTGGCAAAGTGACAACTATTTATGTAGACCATGTTTTAACAAAGTAATGAAACTGTCAACTCAGTCGTGAGATGAACACATTAGCACCGAAGTATGGAGATATATGTCACGTGACAAAACTAAATTGTGCAGTGGTTCAAGTTGTTTTTTTGGTTGGTTAAGTCATTTAACATAAATGCAAAGATGAAGAAAGTTTGTTAAAATTCAACAACATTTGCAGCATCGGATGGAATGAATATTCTATCCTATAACTATGTATAGTGAAGTCACTGATCCCACACAAGTCCACAAGTACTCGTACTTGCCAATAAATTGCGCCATCTAGTGACGAAACACTTCCGTGACGTCAAATTTACGTAGATGCAGGTGTAAGCGAAGTCGTTTTAATAGACTACTATCTGCTATTGTGTAGTCGTTTGTTATTAAAAATATCCTCGGGGGCGGAGCTACGTCACAGACGTTCCACGTTGCTAAGACGCGCACCACTGTACCACGTATTTCTATGGACTTTGTGCGCGCTGCTGTGGAACGCCGGTGGAGCCGGTGAAAACTCGAGAAAACAACACAAACTCAACTTTGAAGTAATCCTGAACAACCAAATTCATATATGTTACACACGTAGGGCTAATCTTGTTACACTGTTCAGGGAACTCTCAACAACCATTGCAAAGTACCGTTTTCTGCGAGTTTTTGGTCTTTGTTTTCACCGCGAGGGTTGCCAGGCGGTAGAAAATGCCCGTATGTCCGCCCCCGAGGATAGCAAATTTCCAAAACTATATTTTGTTCATTGACTGATAGGCTACTTGTCAAAGTAATACAAACGCTTTTCACGTCACGCGGTGGCGCTAATCAAAGGGAAGGTTCAGGATAACAAGCAACGTCCACAAAATACTAGTAATGTACAATCACCGTATACATTCATTTTACAACCAATAAACAGCAACATTGATAATGTGGTTGATCATCCAACGTTGTCACGTGTTCTTTTATTTAAATATATACGTAGGGTGTTATACCTTTCCTTTTGCCTAATTTCGCGTGGTTGAAGTTCGCGGCGAGCAAAATGTTGCAAGTCACCAGAATTGTGCTCTCCAAATCAGATAAGAAATCGTTAACATAAATGATGCGTAAAATGATGTTTTGAAACAGATTAACGGTTGATCATTATTCGCAAATAGAGATCAAGTCTTTTCACATATTCATTTTATTTCCACATTCTTCGTTTCAATATAATAGTGGTATATTTATTCTAATGCCACTTTTTTTAAAAAAAAATTAAAAACTCACTGATTTTTGAATATAAATATTAAATATAGTAGCCGAATGTTTTACCTACTCTATGTATCGAGTGTGGGCCCTTATCTGTTCCAGTTTGAAAAAACAAGAATTCCTTATCTGATTTAGTTAAATCAGCAAAATCCTGCTCACAACTTATCACAACTTATCAAATCTGCATACGTAATACATGTAGTACCAAATTAATTTGTGACGACAACGTTAAAT